CGAGGGAAAACCCCAAATCACCCTCAAAGAGTTGGAAGAGCTGACTGTACATAACCTCGAGAACGTATTCTCTTACTAAATGAGTAGCTTCTATAAATGCAAATTACTGCAAATGCTCTCCACCACTGAAGCTAAAGAAAACTGAAATGCAGCACACTGAGCCGAGTTCCACATGTTCATCCTGTGAATTACAATTAATACATTGAAATACAGCGGTTATACAATCACAGTTTCACATGCCTACAGATCCTTCATAGCTTTGCTACCTCATTAAAACAGACGGACTTGGCCACTGCACAGAAAAATACTTTGTCTGAGAGCTGAAGCAAGCAGCTATAAGGCATGGTGATGATGGAATAATAATTTAAAAAGTCATTGTCTCCTTAAAAAAAAAAAAACACAACAAAAACCTGACTGGGTTTACCAGAAGAAACATTACACTGCTAACTGAAGTATGTGAGTTCTCCAGCATGGCATATCAGAAGCTGACTCGCATGTTTACCTTGGACAGCTCAGATGAATTAAGGAAAGCCGAGCGTTGCACAAGAACAGAGATTCTTTGTGCCCCTGTGGGTAGCTCACCTCTGCATTTTCACTTTCTGATTTACAATAATTCTTTCAAAGAACTAATGACACTGCACCATTATTTCAGCACATTCAATGCAGTTACTCGCCCAGCCTGCGTTTGTCAAAAGAGCGATGATGCCCACAGCCCGTGGTACAGATGCTGCAACGAGGGGAGCGTATTTGGCGGTACGGAAACCAACTGACTTGGTTCTGTGTCCTGCCTCATCAGAGGATTCAGAGGAAGATCACAGATGAAGGCTAAGCGACCTATTTCTTGGTCTGCAAATGTGCAAATTCTGGGTCCAAATCCCATATCTGGGAAAGTAACAAAGAAGAAAAACACTGTCTAGAGCTTGAAAAATTAACATTTCTGTTCTGAAAGAAACTCATGATACTATTAACTTGAACAAAACTACTTCCAGCTGAAAGCATTAATCTCTGCACTTGGAGGGCTTAGTCCTGATTTTGATGCATTTCTTTAATATCTTTCAGACATTCAAAAATACTAGTACATAGTCAGGAATTTCTCTTTTATCAAATTATTTAATAAAAACATGCTGAAGACATTAGGAAACATTGAGACACTGTATCATCATCATCATTAGCGTTTCTCATTTTTAAAACCACAGATTAGCATTCCTGATTTAACTAAGCTTTTAAATACTCTTTTGCATACTATCTACATCGAACGATGATCTGTGAATGTACAAAGAGACATTTTGATCTCTTCCGCAGCCAGTAAGAACACGTAAATGAGTGACTGTCTCATACGCAAGTACAAATTTTGTTACAGGGAGGTGTGTGCCTGTGTATGTGTTTTACACACATGCGAATACCAACTATGGGGTTTTCACTTGATTTTTATTTAATTGCACTTCAGTCAAATGGCCATCTATGGGTAGCTATGCCATTACAATATATTCCACTTGAAAAAATTAAACTACAACAGGATCTTTGTATTAATAATATTCAGGTTTAAAATATAAACACCAACTTTTTACTTCACATAGTTTTCAAGAACTCAAAGAAGCAACGCAGGCACACAAAACTTTTGGTAACACCTAGAAAATATGCAAGCAAACCCTGTCATGGCACCATCATACGGATTGACAAAACATTGAATTATGTACTTGGGAACACAGAAAATAAGTTTCGTGTCACTGAGGAATACAGGTTATTACTAAAGATCCTCTTTTTGAGGAGTGCTGTTACTAGTAGGTCACCGAGGCACCTTCTGCAGGTTGCCTGCATGGGGGGCTTTGTGTGCAGGAAAAGACTGTATAAGCGGTGCTGGAATTTTGCAAAATGTTTCCAAACATCACCATTAACCTGGGTTTTCTTCCCTGTTTTGACTCCAGTAACATTAACATCAGCACAGCCCTCCAGGCAGGTGGGGCTGGGAGATGGCACTGGCTGGCAGGTTTCTGGAGTTAGGGGGTTGGGGGGGGGGGGGTTTTTTTTTTTTTTTTTTTTTAAGGTAAAACTGCAAGGTCCATAAGAGGGAGCTCAAACACAGCTCCAGCTGACATCCCTCAAAACTAAGTGACTTTAACAATGTATATTAAAAAAACAATCCTGGAAACCTGAGACCATCTCCAACTGAACAAGAACCACCTTTAAAATGCAGGTCACAAGCTATGCCCAAATTTTCTTTAAAAAATAATCTTAGGTTCTCTAGCATTTGAAGAGCCATACATTGAAGAGTTCAGCACTGTCTGTGTTATCCTGCACGTTAATGTTTTGTTAATTACAATTTTAAAGGGCAGTGACAGCCTTGTATGAGTAAACACATGCAATGCAGCAAGCACCACGGGGCTGTGTTACAACAGAAATTGAGAGTAGGCCCTGGTAAACAACCTGTCCCTAAAACACAGAAACCAGTGCAGTTCTAAAATTTCATGCTTCACATAAAAAAAGGAAAGGAGCAGAACCACAAGCAAAATACAGGAGTCAATGTCACACAGGAAAAAAAACCCTCCCCCTCCTCTCACCCACTTTGTTACTATGGGACTCGCAGAAATCTCTGGATTATAAACACGAAGGTCCCACTCACAAGACAATTAAGCAGCTCCAGTGCTTCTATCGGCCACCCACCTCCATGACTCTTCACAAGGTCTGCGTCTCCCAGAAAAGCTAAAATGCATTCTTGAATTTGCCAGCTGAAAGACAGGACTTTGTTGCTCCTGAGAATAGGGGAACACTTTTGAAACCAAAGCAATTTATTTTTTCAAAGGAATTCTTTTTTTCCGCAACTGAATGGTGAGGGCAGTAGAGAAAGAAGGAGTTAATATCATGCTGTGTTTTGTCCCGGGCAAGAAAGATGTATCATAACTTTAAAATCTCAGATGGTCTGAACAGCACAAATAGGTGGAAGATTACCAAGTCAGAAAGTAAGCTCAGAAACGGCATGTCTACGCACAAGAAATGGTGGAACAGTAGTTCCCTGCCTCTGCTATGACCAGTAACTAACAATAAAACAGACAAGATGGTAAACATTGCAAAAAGACAATTACTAATAATGAAAAGGCAACAGAAATTTTGGGCTGCTTCCACAAACTGAGTAACGCGTTTTCAAACTGACAGCAAAGTATTGGTTGCCAAATGAAAATGAGAGCAAACAGCAAAGTTGTGCTTAACCCCTTTTTGCTTTTATACTGCATTTTAAACACAGATGAAATCATGGAATTTAGAAGAAAAAGTCTACAAAGAAGACATTTTACTCAGCTATTTGGTCAGTGTTTCCATCACTTCAGTACCCAGAATCCTCAGACAACTTATTCATCTTGGGTCCTTTTCTCAATACCAGGTTCGTGAAAATAAGATGGGTTTTCATCTGCAAAACCTGGGTTAGGAACACTCAGATTGGGGAGAAACGGAATTAGGATTCCGACTTATCTTGCGGAAGGTGAATGCTAAACATAAGAGTTAACTGAAGGACAACCTGTAATTGCAGACTTCAAGAACTCTCAAGAATACCCAACTCTCAAGTGGCAGCCAAGGACTGACCACCAAAATGCAAAATCCCGGGATACTGAGCTACACAGGCATGACAGAGGTGCAAGAAACAAGATGACTCCAGCAACTGCAAACATCTCTAAATTGCCCTCACTCTGCTCTCCTCTCAGTTAACTCAAACAGCATCCTCTATGAAACATCAACAAATAGTTTAGCAAGAACAAAGCTTCGGCCTCACACCTTCCCAAGCAGGAGCTGACAGAAGCAGCATGCTTTTCTTCTCCATCTGACCAGCAGCAGCACCAATTCAAAACAAGTATTTACCCTATCCTGACACAGAGGAATAAAAGGAAACATTTCACTGCAAATCCAACTGTATGTTCTCTTGTTCCCATTCCTGCAAAGGTTCAGCCACAAACAAGACCTTAAATTTTCTTTAAACAGTTAAGAGAAAAACAAAAATGTTGACACAAGCAGGTGAGACAAGAACCACACGGAAAAGCTCTGACATCCCTATATCTAAACCAGAAAAGGCATCTGATGTTCGGAAAGCGCATTCGTTACACCGTTAATTTCTGCTGACGGGCTTTGCAGAGATATCAGAAGCCAGGGAGGATTTTTGGAAGTGCAGCAATTTGCACCTACGACAACTGGAGTACAGCAGGAACAACATTAGTGACACCAAGTCCGGCACCTCCGGCCGGGTCTCTGCACGCCCATGGGTGCTCTGTGCCCCCACGGCCCTGCAGCTGGGGGGGTGTGGGAGGGGAACCACGGTGTTACCTGCCAGCGGCTTGGGGCAGGAGCCTGCCCTGCCCGGGGGATGCTCCGCAGGGCCCTGAGGGAAGCGCTGCTCCTTAGGCAGGCAGGTGTAAGGCTGGGGACCCCCCCAATCTGGGCCTGTCCCAGGGGGAGGAACTGGGACCCCCCCTCACAGAGCCTGGTGAAGGAATCGGGGGGACCTGCAACCCCTCAGACCCAGCTCTGTCCCAGCAGGAGGAACTGGGACCCCTCGCCTCAGACCCTGGTGAAGGAATCGGGGACAACCCCCCCCCTCAGACCCGGGCCTGTCCTGGGGTGAGGAACCGGGACCCCCCCCTCAGACCCTGGTGAAGGAATCGGGACCCCCCTCCCCCTTCAGACCCGGACCCGTGCCGGGGTGAGGAACTGGCTGTCCCCCCCCCTCAGACCCGGGGCCTGTCCCGTGGTGAGGAACCGGGGACCCCCCCTCAGACTCGTCCCAGGGGAGAGGGGCCCCCCCCGCGCCACCCCACCACAAAGGAGACCCCACACAGCCGGACCCGCTCCCGCGGCGACCTGAGGGGGGGGGGGGCTGCCCCGGGGCAGAGTCGTCTATGTCGTGTGTCCCCCCCCAAACGGGGGGACCGGGGCCTCCCCCCGCGCCAGGCCCT